GTGCGGCGGCGGGTGAGAGGGAGGGACGGGCCATCCGCGCCGCATCGAGAGGTCGCGATCACAAGGGGAGGGAGGGAGCGGCCCGGAAGGGGAGGGAGCAGCTGCCACGAAGGAAGTGTTGCGCCGGGAAGAGGGAGGCGCTCGGATTTGACACCAGGAAGGGGAAGCAGAGTAGTCGCTGAGATAGCGGACACGGGTGGGAATGGCCGAGTTAGTGTACGGGCCACGTTGGGAGTTGTTGTTGGGCCATAGACATAGTGGCCCTTCATCGGGTCTTTGTCCATTTACCGGGCCGGGCCAGGCCAAAACGTTGTGCCTAGGGTAAGGCCCAGGCACGGGCTGCTCCCTTGGGCCGGGCCTGCTCCGCACCGGGCCGGGCCATGCTCATGCTGGGCCAAAAAACGGGCTTTGGGCTAGGTCGTTGTGCCTCAGGCTGCATACCCATATATAGGTCCAGGGTCACTAGGCCCTGGGTCAACCACTGAATATATATGAGCTGGCTACAATGTTTTTGCCCTAGTTGGATTCAGATTTGAGATCTTTGGTCCTTGTATCATATTGAGTTGTGAGATGCATGCACCGATTAGTTAAACTAAAACTTTTAAATTAAAGTAGTATAAAATATGAGCCAATTAGCTTATGCTTTTTAACAATTTTTTATCACTTGAGTGCTTATATGCTATCACTACCGGAGACAGCTTCTTTGCCGAGTGCCTCAGGCACTCGGCAAAGGCCGATATATACTCGGCAAATCCTTTGCCGAGTGTTACACTCGGCAAAGGGCGCTCGGTAAACAGTTTATCGGCAAATACCTCTTTGCCGAGTGCACTTTATCGGACAAGTGCCAATCCGACACTCGACAAAGAAAAGTGGCCGTGACGGCGAGCGCCACCATGACGGCGGCTTTGCCGAGTGCCAAGGTCAAGCACTCGGCAAAGGTCCTCGCTTTGCCGAGTGTCGTTGACTTAGACACTCGGCAAAGGTGGTCACTTTGCCGAGTGCCGCCAGAAAGACACTTGGCAAAGTATGTAATGTTTGCCGAGTGCCTGTCCCATGGCACTCGGCAAATCTCTGATGTTTGCCGAGTGCAACGGTCTTTGCACTCGGCAAAGCATGTTTCTAGATAGTTCCGAGATAGCCACTTTGCTGAGTGTCATGGTCATTGCACTCGGCAAAGTGACTGAAAATAGCCTTTTTATTTGTTTTTTACATCCCATCCAAACAAACAGAAGATATATATAACAAACATCACCAACATCATATATATATCATCAACAACACATATATATCACCAACACCACACATCACATATATATCACAAACGTCTCATGTCTCACAATATATCACAAATAAGTTCACAAGTAATCCAAGTGCTCCATCATCTTCAACCACAATTGCAAATAGAAGTATCATTAACAACCACAAGTATCATCACTGATTTGGTGAAGGATTCGCTGAAGCATGAGGATCGTTCGATGCCGCCGATTGATTCTACACAAAGCAGAAGAGATTGCATGTGTGAGACAAGATAAATATACACCATACATGAATAAAACTTTGATACTCCACTAGGTTTGACCGTAAGCATGAACATACAAACTAAAACATTTATACTCACAAGAGTAGAATAGTGAGGAGGTGGAGGTGGAGGTGGACCGAATAGCGAAGGTGGCGGAGCTACACCCGTAGACTTTGCATGTACTAAAAAATCTCCGCCATCCTCTGCTGCTCGGCCTCCACCCTCTCCATCTTCACCTGCATCTGCTCACGTATCCTCCTCTCTTGTTCTAGCTAGGCCTACAATATATTCACCCCAATGTTACAATAATGCAAAGGAAATGTATGAAAAAACCAATGAACGACGAATAAAGCAGGAATAACCTCGAGTGCCTCCACTCGGTGGTGTGAAGTGTCCTGCCGAGGTCGTATGGCCGGGCTCCTGCTCATGCTGCTTGCTTGAATCTGGGAGAGACTGGGAGTAGTGGCCGAGTCGATTGCGCCATCGTCAATCCAGTACCACCCATGCTTCTTGCCTCCTCCCACCCTCATGATGACTTCTCCATCAAGGTCCTCGGTGCTCAGATCGTACTCTGACCCATGGACCTCCCTTGCCATCGATGTGTACTCACTAAGGCGGTTGTGGACGGTCGCATTGCTGTATGCCTCGGGCCCGTCCTCCGAGTTGTAGTCGACGTCGGACGTCGCCTTACCCTTGTGGGCCATAGCAAATGCCTTAAAGATGGAGCAAGGATGGCCACCATGTGACGCCGACTGTGAGAAAAAATGCAAGATGATTAGAAATCATGCAGAATTGAGCGTTAGAATAAATAAATAAATTTGCATACCCATGTTTCTGCGTATCCGCTAAGGCTACGGCTGTCTTGATGGTGTGCTACACATGTCATCATCAAACACCGCTCCCGGCACAAATTGTGCGTCTCCTCCCACTCGCGTGAGCACCACCTATCCACCATCTGTTCCCAGCACTGGGGATACGCGGCGTCCTCCTAGGGCACCTGCTCCTCCTCCTCCTCCTCACGCGATGGGGCGGCAGGCGACGACTCCCTCCTGCGGCTGCTCCTCCTCCTACTCTCCCCCGGTGCAGCGGTTCTTGTCCTTCGGTACAAGGACGTTAGCTTCCTCATCCCACCGCCCACCATCTTTGTTCAATCACCTGCAATTAAAAAGAGTAAACCAATAAGCACAGACAAACAAGAAGTACTTAGAAATAGATGCAAAATAAACAAAACATAATTACAAAATAACATAGTATTACATGTATTAGAAATAATCTTCATGATCGGGATTAGCTGGATCATAAGTCTCATCATCACTATCAATCATGTCGAAATAATCAACACTATCCGAATGAGCAATGTTGTTATTGTCATTGTCTAAATGTAATCGCTCAAGCATTTGTAAGTCCTTCACATTTTGCACCTCATGTCCAGCGTCTTCTTCAATAACCATTTCATTGTCTACTTCCATTCCGACCGTATCTCTTTCGAACGGGTGACGCCTAACTAGGTTACGTAATCTACGACCATGATACAGAAAGAGGGGTTATACCTAGGGTGGCAGTGGAGTTAGGCTAGCGGGCCCATGGCGGGTCGGTGCAGTGGCGAGGCGACGCGGTGCAGGCAGACCCACAGCGGCGAGGAAGGCGATCAGGGTCACCGAGGTGCTCCGGCTCCGCTCTGATGGGTTCTTCTCTACAAAAAAAAGAAACATAAAACTGTCAATACAAAATTTCGGCAGCACCTCCCCTGCACGGTGAGGTTTCCAAAACCTGCAAGAAAACCAACGGCACGATGACCGACATGCACATATATATATGAACGGCATGATGGCCGACAAGCACAAGATTATATCCAACCACATATATACAACAATGTCACAACCACTCCTACGACTACCACCACTGCTACTCTACCACCACTACTACTGCAACTACTAGTAATACTATGACGACGACGACGGTAGTGCATACCTAGTGGGCGTCGTAGGGCGGCGGTGGTGAAGGGGCCAGGGCGCCGGTGGACAAGACGACGGCTGGGAAAGCATCGGGGACGGCGCGGGCGCGGGCGGGGACGGCGGCGGCGCTGGCGCCTCCTTCTTCTTCCTCCTTCCTCCTTCTTCCTCCTCCATCCTCCTCTCCTCTCCTCCTCCTCCGGCGGCGCGGCCGCGGGTGGGAGTGGCGGCGGCGCTGGCGCGGGCGTGCATGTGTGCGTGTGTACGGTGTGTGTGGACCGGCTGTGCCGGGAGGTTAAATCCCCTCTTTACCGAGTGCCTCCGATCTGGCAATCGACAAAGTTTTTTTTTTTAATTCTTTGCCGAGTGTCACCTGGCCAGGCACTCGGCAAAGAGGGTTTTAAAAAAAACTTAATTTTTAAATTCTTTGCCGAGTGCCACCCGGACTGGCACTCGGCAAAGAGGGTTTTTTAAATTTTTTAAAAATTCTTTGTCGAGTACCACCAGGACAGGCACTCGGCAAAGAGGGGTTTTTTCATTTTTTTTAAAAAAATTCTTTGCCGAGTGCCATAGGTTCTGACACTTGGCAAAGAGGCTCCTTTGCCCAGTGTCTTCTCCTGACACTCGACAAAGAGGCTCATTTACTGAGTGTCATTTTTTGACACTCAACAACCCATATTTTTTTTAGTTTTGACCTCCAAACTTTTTCTGCGGTCCTCAGACAATACCTGGTACTCCATGTTCCAATGTGGCACATTTCTCGGACTTTTTCTATATTTCTTTAATTTATTTCATTTAATTGAATTTTCTTGGATAATTCAAATTATAACTGCTAGTCATTCGAATAATGAAAAAAAATAAATGGAAAAATGATATTCATGGTATTTAGTATGATGTGAGGCCGTATCCAGGAACAGACCACCAATTTCGAACATCTTATTCACGAAACATGATCACGAATTTGCGATCGAGTTGTTTTTAAATTATATAAAAAGCAAACGAAGTCCGAAAATTATGAAACTTATCAAGATGTCAAGATATCATATGTGGAGGCTGTGATAAAAAAATTGAGGAGGTTTTGCGAAACCGAAGTCGGCCTCTTCGCGCAAGTTATTGTTTGACACTCGGCAAACCTGGTCTTTGCCGAGTGTTCGGCACTTGGTAAACCACCTTTTTGCCGAGTGCCAGTTGTTTGCTGAGTATTTTCTCTCTAGCACTCGACAAACAGCCTCTTTACCGAGTGCCCGATAAAAAATACTCGGCAAAGTCTGGGACACTCGATAAAAAAACCGTCTCCGGTAGTGTATATATAATTATATATTGCACACGTCCTACCAAACAACCATTTACATTTTGTGTTGACAAAATTTTGGGGTGCAATTTATACGCTGGAAATTGATCGAGAGCCTCCATACGTATCGACCATCTCTTCAAATGTATAAGAGACGCGGATATCTTTGTATATATTAAGAGGTGAAACCGTATAAGCAACGAACGAGACGTCAAACGGTGGATCCGGACATGATCAATCAGTTGGCAGGAGTCACACGAGTGGAGTGTCCAAAACAGGATAGGAAGTCCGAGATGGCGACATCCGAGCTACCGCCTTCACCCATGGCATTCCTTGCCTTGCCGCTCCAGTCCAGAGCTCTCTTCCTAAACTCCTTGCACATTTCGCCTTCCATGACGTCCCGCACGCACCTCTCCATCTCCGCGCTCCTCACCACCCCCTGGGCATCCGGGCGCACCCGTACGCCGACACGCCACACGTCCTGAATATACTTGGCATTCGTCGTCTGGTCCGCCCAGTTCGGCATCGCCACCATGGGCACGCCGGCGCTGAGCGCCTCCACCGTCGAGTTCCAGCCGCAGTGCGTGAAGAAGCAGCCGACGGAGGGGTGCGCCAGGACCTCCAGCTGCGGGCACCACGACACCAGGCGCCCCCTGCTGGCCTTCGCCGCCTTGTCGTCGGCGAAGCCCTTGGGTAGCTTAACAGTCTCTCCGTGGCCCGGACGACCCACAGGAAGGGCTTGCCGCTGCTGTAGAGGCCCTCGGCTATCTCGCTCATCTGGTCCGGGCCTAGCGACGCCATGCTACCGAAGGAAACGTACAGAACGGACCGCGCCTGCTGGGCGTCCAGCCACGCCATGCTTTCTGCCGCCATTGGGGCGTGCAGGTGGATGCCGTAGGACACGTCGTCCGGCAGTCGGTTGTCGAGGAACGCCGACGGTACAGTCGGCCCCACCATCTTGGCTCTCCACGTAGACGCCAAGTAGTCCGCTTCCTGCGGCTCCAGGTCGTAGAACGAGTTGACGAGCACATGGTCGGCGGTGTCCAGCCCCAGGAACTGGTTCAGCAGCAGCTCCCGGAAACACGGGGGGTACCTGATGTCAGCGAAGAACGTGGGCACGTCGCCGACCTCGAGCTGCGTCGACAGCCCGGGCAGGTCCTGCAGCACCTCCTCCGGGCGCAGCAGCGGCGGGGCGGCACCCGGCCGGCCCACGCGTGCGCGTACACGATGTCCACGGCGCACGGCTGCGTGAGGAACGCCGCGGACGCCGCGCCGCGCCGCCTCGCCACGCGCTGCGCCCACGGCGCGACCGCGTCGTACACCACCACGTGCACGGGCCGCCCCACCTCCGACTCCGACCGGAGGAGCTCGTCCAGCGTCTCGGACCCGACCGACTCGATCCGCTCGAAGTAGGGGAAGCCCATCCCTCCTAGCTCGTCGGGGCCGCGCTCGTCGCAGCCGTCGGAGATGGCGGCGACGTGGACCGAGCTTGGGGTCGGCTTGGTCGAGCTGATCACGAAACGGGTCGCCGCCAGGGTGCACCGGACGCCACTGCGGCCGGCGAGCCGCTTGCCGAACTGGAGCAGCGGGTTGATGTGGCCCTGTGTGGGGAATGGGAGGAGAAGAACGTGGACGCTTTGGTCGGACGACCTCGCCGCCATGGTACAACTAATGAGTGAATGAATGTGCTGATTCTATATCACAGATAGATTTGCAATGGCGGTGTTCTTGGGAAGTACGAGAGTGCAAGTGTTGCTCTATATATAGTAGACGACGTCCGTCGTGAACTCCTGATGCTTCAGCGACAAATCATCAGATGCTGAAGCAAAGCCCAAGCGGCCAACTGTTTCTATTGAATTCGGTGAAAAACGGATCTCCTGGATCTGCACCGGCAGCAGTGCCGCTCCTAAGATTCGGAGGGCAACCTCTAGACTATATATAAATCTTATAATATGTATAAGTGCTAAATTTTTTTTGCAAAACAAAAACAAATCCAGTGATATATTTTTAATTTAACATGTTTGATAATTATGGAAGAACAATGTAAACTAAAACTAATATGATTACCTTAAGGAAGAATATAATTCCATAATATCCATTGCTTCTCATAAAAAATGGTTCTTCGAGCGTTTCTTGATGCAAAAAATCATCAAGGACGGTATTGAGATCAATAGTGTCCAAGATATCCCTCTCGATGGTGCGCATAGCCAATCCATTTAACCTTTCTTGCGACATAGTTGATCTTAAATAGTTCTTCAACAACTTCAATTTTGGGAAACTTCTTTCAACTGATGCTACAATCACATGTACAGTTCAGAGGATTCGATAGGTAACTGAAACATTTGGATAACAATCTGCAGCTACATGAGACGCGCTTCTTCCTTGTTTGTCGATTTCTCCTGGGGTTTTTTTTTTCTACATGCACACGTGGTGCGGAATCGTCACTTTTTGCTTCTTGGCTTGGTCGTTTTCTTTATCTCGCACGTCATCGATGACTTAAGCTTCCTGTCGAATGCATGAATTTTCTGTCAGCAGTGACGTACATTTTATTATGTGAGCTTCTGCGGAGTGCGGTATGGATTTTATTCAAAATCCATATATTTTAATTCTGCCAATTATTTCCATCAAAAATTCCTTTTAATATAGAGTATACTTCTCTATGGCGGCTATAGAATAGATAATTCTGTGATCGAACCCAATGCGCACGTCTGGACAGTCTCACTAGATGTCCCACACTCCCACTCGACTGGATCCACGTGTCCTACTCAACCCACTCGTTTGGATCCGCGAGCAACTGCTATTTTTCATTAGGCTCGCTCGGCCGACAATCGATCGACAGGCTAAGAATTACTCCACCAAATCTCTAATTTGCTCTTTTATCGCTAAAATATGAGATATACTTGCTCTGGTCCATTAGATCACCTATATGATCTTCTTTCCCTATAACTTTTGGGAGATATCTCGAAATTAATCTATTCTCCCCTAAAGAAAGGAGAGATAGAGAGGTCTCCTATATATCCTATGGGCCCTACTCCGACTATAGCCACACTGCACTTACAGTGCAAAATCACCCTGATGATCGCCAAGTGTCCACGTTGTTATGTAGATCCTACCCATGTTACAAATCCCACCCGTGCGAGGAGAGCAAGCTTAGGCGCTCGCCAGGTAGTTTCGGCGCTGGACTGCGCATTGGGGTCAGGATGCCGCATGAAGATCATCGGGGCGGTCTCACACGAAAAGCGTGATGCGGTACTGTCAGCATAAAATTTCTTTCTCTATGCAGCATTGCAGCTGCCAGCGCACATGAGTGAGAAAGGAGAGGTGGAAGCGTGCAGGGTGTGTGAGAGAAGAGGTCAAGGATAGGGGAAGAAGGAAGAATATAATGATTAAACGCTGATATATGGGCACCCTTGTCAAGATACAAATCAGGCAGAGGTTTTTGGCAATCTTCTGGAGCAAAATCCTCATGTCCAAAAGTTAATTTTAGGAGATCTACTATATATATTTATATGGGAGAAGGGATAGATCTAGTGGAGTTTCACTAAGAACCTAGTGGCACCCACAAATTTCACTTGATTACTACTTCAGTCTTGTCAGAGAAGGTCAAACATCCACAGGCGACAACCCCAAGCCAACCTTGATCTCAGTCCCATGAAACTTGTCTCATCTGCTCATCAGATCGAGTTGCTGCTACCCTCGTGGTCTTCATCTCCAATCTGCCACTGATGTCTATCCCTTTAGCCGGCCTCCGTGACCTACGCACAGAGGAGCACCTCAAGGAAAGTCTCTGATATTCCCCACTCCGCCCCCCCACCCACCCCTAGATAATAATTTTTTTTTTGACGAAACTGGAGGGGTGTGAACCCCTACAGAAATTTATTGAGTAAAGAAAAAAACACAAGAGTTAAAAAGTTAGTGTACAAACAGTTTAAGAAACAAAGAAGGAAATGAAAAAGGCAAGGAAGAGTAAAAATATTACAACAGATTCTGGATGCATAAATCAAAAGTGATTGAAACTTTGGCTTTTGCCCTTAGGCTCAGAAGTGATAACTCTTTTAGGAATATTCTCTTTGTTGTTTGTATCTCTGGCTGCTTATTTTTGAAGATGAAATCGTTTCTGACAGACCAAATTGCCCAGCACATTAAAAATGCAACCATCATGAAGAAGACTGGATGAAAATTGGCCTCTGAGCTGTGATATGCATTCAAAGATGTCTGCTCCATTCCTGAAAACTGATACCCAACAAGCTCCAGTAGTCCTTAGCAAAAGGACAATCAATGAAAAGGTGTTGACAGGTTTCTTCGACTGAAAGGCTACACAGTATATAGTTAAATGAATCAAGATGCATATTCTTCCTTCTTAGAATATTCCTTGTGCTAATCCTATCATTTAGGAGTAACCAGAAAAAGACCTTATGTTTTGGTTGACAAAAACAATTTTAGAGCCATTTGTATGCTTGGTGGACATCTGTATGTCCAATTAAAAAGCTGTAGGTTCTAGCTGCTGAAAATTCCCCCCAATTGGATGACCATTTGTCATCTTCATCAATTAAAGGAAAGTGCTCAAGGAAAGATTGCACTGCTTGCATTTGGGAATATGCTTCAGTGGACAAGGGCAGATTAAAGAGGTCTGGGAGATGTTGCTGAGCATAAAAATCCCTGACTGAGATGACTTTGTTTTTGCAAAGGAGTGAAGTTCAGGGTAATCATTTTCCAAAGTCTGCTGAATCCATTTGTCTTCCCAAAATAGGCAAGTGCTTCCATTTTGAATGTGAATGATGGAGAAGGATTTAAATGGCTGTAGAAGCTTGAGGATGTCCCTCCACCAGAATGAGCCTTTTTAGTGGCACTTGGTAACTTACCATTGTTGTAATGCTTCTCCCAGACCAAAGAAACCCAAGGCAAGTCCTTCTTATTAAAGAATTTATCTAGATTTTTCACCAGTAGAGCTTCATTGTGTTTTTTTAAGTCAATAACACCTAGGCCTCCCTCCTCCTTTGGTACACACACCATTTCCCATGCTGCCTTTGGAGGTTTTTTTGAATTTATGTCTGCCCCTCTCCAAAGGTAATGTTTCCTGAATTTATCAATCTGCTTAATTACTCCTTTGGGAAGGGATAGAGTACACATGTGGAAGGTGGGAAGAGCTGAAAGCACAACATTTGTGAGCTCAAGTTTCCCAGCCTGGGAGAGGAAAGTAGAAGTGCAGGCTAATCTTCTTTCACACTTAGAAACAAGAGGGAGGAAATCATCAACTTTGGGTTTAGTGATCCCAAGGGGAAGGTCAAGATAAGTGAAAGGGAAGGATCCTTTAGAGCAACCCAAGGTATTGGCTAGATGGTTAAACTTTTTAGGAGAAATGTTAATTGGAACCATCATGTATTTGTTGAAGTTCACTTTTAACCCAGTGGATTCACAGAAGGAATGTAACACAGATTTCAGGAAAAACAACTGCGTTGAGTCACCTTCAAGGACAATAAGGGTGTCATCAGCATACTGAATCACAGGGAAGTCCAAAGAGGAATTCAGAGGAATTGGAAGGTTGAGGAGGCCTCTTTGTCTTTGTTTAGGATGGTCTAGAGAAATCAGCTGCCAAGACAAAAAAGAAGAGGGAGAGAGGGATCCCTTGTTTGACCCCTCTCTTACAGTGGATGGTTCTTCTTGGCACCCCATTGAGTAGCACATTGGAGGTCCCAGAGGAGAGAATGTTTTTTAATCCTTCTAAGCCAAATTGGTCCAAAACCTTTTGCTTCTATAAGTTTTAGAATAGTTTGGTGCTCAATTTTGTCAAAAGCTTTCTCAAAGTCAAGCTTGAGAATGATGATTTCTTTCTTAGAATGGTGACATAGGTGCAGGTACTCAAAGGACCAAGCAAGGCAATCCTAGATAGTTCTGTTTTTTATGAAGCCATACTGGTTTTTGTGTATAAGAGAAGGAATTACAGCCTGGAGCCTATTGGCAAGGATTTTGGTAATGATTTTCATTGAGCAATTAAGAAGAGAACTGGGTCTGTAATCAGAAATGCAGGTGGCTATCAATCTTTGGAACAAGAGTGATAAAGGAGGAGTTAATACTCTGGAGGCAGACATTGTTGTTACGAAAAACCCAACAAAGTTCATAGAAGTCATTTTTTATGGTGGACCAACATTTTTTTATGAACTCATTTGTAAACCCATCTGGGCCAGGAGATTTGTTATTTGGAAGTCTTTTGATGGTCTCATCAATTTCAGCAGTGGAGAACTCTTGTTCAAGAATCTCAAGACCCTGGGCTGGTTGAATCAAGGAGGGGGAGGTCGAAGAGAATATCATTGAAGTCAGATTGACCAAGTCTCTGTTTGAAGGCTTCCCAGATAATCACTTCTTTATCAGCATGTTCAGTTTTAGAGTTACCAGTAGCATCATTGAGCTTACTCACCCAATTCTTCCTATGCCTGATGGTGGCATTGGCATGAAAGAACTTGGTACCAGCATCACCTAAAGTTACCCATTTGACATTGCCCATTTGTTTCCAATAAGTTCTTTGCTGTTCTAACCAGGACAACAATTTTTCTCTTAAAATATCCCTGAAATTCCATTCCCCTAGACTCAAATCCCTATATTTATCTATAATATCCAACCATTGAATAGTGACAATGATGTTTTCAATGGTAAATTTTAGATT